TTGAAGAGCCTAGAGAGGCTACAGGAGTCCTAAGAAAAAAAGATGGTGTTTGCACCCAGTATGGTGCTACATACAGAATTTCACATCAAGATAATTTTTGAGACTCTAAGAGATATATTCAGCTTGTCCATACCTGAAATAGAGCTTTTTAGCTGAAATATAGCTTTTTAGAGGACCTCGCTTAGGAGCAATTAGACTAAAAACAGAGAAGAAACTGATTTCATTGCCATTCCACGCTCAACTGGTACCCTACCTAAAAAATCCTCTCTCTTACATCTTCAAGCTGGCTTCTTATCTGTAGTACTACCTACTTCAGAACTTTATTGTAGTAGTAAAAAAATAATAATAGCCAAATTAATTAGTCACATTTTGTGCCAGATACTATCTTAGTGTTTCACATATTAATTCAATTTATCCATTTTACTACTTCAGTGACTTTTTTTTTTTTTTGATAGAATATCACTCTCTTGCCCAGGATAAAGTACAGTGGCATCATCATAGCTCACTGCAGCCTCAAACTCCTGGGCTCAAACGATCCTCCCACCTCAGCCTCCTGAGTAGCTGGGACTACAGATCCACACCACCACGCCTATTTTTTTAAAAATATTTTTTGTAGAGACAGGGTCTCTCTTTCTTATACAGGCTGGTCTCAAACTGCGGGCCTCAGGCAGTCCTCCCACCTTGGCCTTCAGTGGCTTTTTACCTAGTATCTCCCTGTGTCTCAACCTGTCTTTTCCATTTCCACTAAGATTTTCTTTCTAAAATATGTGTTTAAGTATTTCTATCTTCTTTAAAATCTTAATTAGTTCCTCAGTACATCTTAAAGGTACATTCAGTTAATCATTGTTGACTATTGTGTAAGTTTTTTTTTTTTGGAGACAGAGTCTTGCTCTGTTGCCTGGGCTAGAGTGCACTTGGTGTCATTATAGCTCACTGCAACCTCAAACTCCTGGGCTGAAGCAGTCTTCCTGCCTTAGCCTCCTCCCAAGTAACTAGGACTACAGGCACGTACAACCACACCTGGCTGATTTTTCTGTATTTTGTAGAGATGGCATTTCATATTGCTCAGCCTGGTCTCAGTCTCCTGGCCTCAAGTGATCCTCCTGCCCTGGCCTCCCAAAATGCCAGGATTACAGGCGTGAGCCACTGCACCACCATATATAAGTTTCTTTTACTCTTCTTTTCCCTTGCATATGTTGTTCACTCCATATCATATGTTTTTCTCTTCTCTATCTGGAGAGCTATTTCTAATCATACTCAGGTATTATCTTCCTTCTGCAGACTTCCCTGGATTCCTAAGGCACTGTTACTTGCTTCTTTCACTGTGCTGCCACTGTAGTTTATACACAGTAATTATAACTGGTAGTTACAAGATTATAGTATCTCAATTGCTTATTTTCATGTGCATTTTTACTGGACTTCATTTATCCCATGGATTATTCATCTCTGTATTTCCTGCATGTAGAAAATACCTGATAATGTAAACTCAATATGTTTGTGTTGAAAGAGCAAATACTCTGCAGTTTTTGTTTCTTATTTCCAGCAAGCTTTACACTGTCTATTGCTGTTAAAACAAACAAATGGGTAATGCAAGGGATTAGAGAAGTAGATGATGTCGCTGTCCTCTTGGTTTAAAAAAAACATGTTGCCGTCTCACTCTGAGCTTTTCAGGATAGGCCCTCAGTTCACATAACACACCAGAAACTCAGCAATTGTTTGTTCAACTTAAATAAATTCATTTTACCCATGTTTGCTTTCTCTGCTATATACCCCCAAGCAAATAAAATGTAGATACCCAACAATCTCTACTTAGAATAAATATTTATTTATTATATGTAAATAGAGAATAAATATTACATAGAGAATAAATATTTATGTGGGTATATTTTAGAACTAGGATGTTGGGATCACATTCCTAAGAATTGCTGCATTCTGGGGAATGTCAAAAGCCTGGGATCAACCAGCTCAACAAGTATTTATAAAAGATTATTATGTGCTTAGGTACTTCCCAAGATGCTTCTCGTGGAGAAAGAGGAACAGTAAACATATAAGTAAGCAAATTCAGTGGTTTGGTGGGCCATGGCGAGAAATATGGATTTTATTCTGGTTGCAACAGGAAGCCATTGTAGGGTTTTATTCAAATTGAATGATGAGACTAATTTTCTGAGGCATGTCAGAAGACCAGTTAAATGGCCACAGTGGTCCAGGTGTAAGATTGGTGGCTTGGTCCTAGGACTATAGAAATGGAAATGATGAAAGGTAGTCATATTTAAAACATATTTTGGAAGTAGAGCAGACAAGATGGACAGGTTGAATCTGGGCTATAAAGAAAAGAAAGGAATCAAGGATGACTCCAGGGTTTGGAGGCTGCATAACTGAGTGATATCTATTACTGAGATGGGAAGTGCTTTGGGGCAGAAAATCAGTTCTCTTGGCCACATGAAGTTTGAAGTTTACTCCACATTCATGCAACAAATATTAATTGGATACCTAATATGCATGAGGCAGTGTACTATTTGCTAAATATAGAGAGGTGCATAGAAAGGCAAAATCCTTGTCCTCATGGCACTTACATTGTAGTAGAGGAGACAGACATAAAGCAAATAAATAGAAAGGAAAGCATAATGTATGTAAGTGATTGGTACTATAAAAAAATAACAAAATAATGAGAAAGAATGATTGGGAAAGGGGAGGTCTTTTAGATAAGATAGTCCAGGAAAGGCTTTCAGAGGATGTAACATTTAAGCAGGTACCTGAATGAAGTGAAAGTATGCACAAGAGAAAAAGATATAATTACATGAATGAAGTCTTCAAGGAAGGCAAATGGGCTTGCAAAGTGGGGCACAGGTGGAGAGACTGGCCTTAGTTGGAAACAGGAGCTCTTTGTCCCTCTTCTTAGGAGGATTGTGTGGTTACAGATGCAGGAAGGTTAGCAGAATTAGTGGTGGAAAGTAATTCTCTGGTTTCATTTATTTTCTCTGTGAAGAGGGAGTATCATCAGCAGTGGAGGGGCTGTGGTGGAGAGTGGAGGGGGAAAGGATGTTAGCAGATGGGAAAATGAACATAATCAAGAAGTGTATTAATGAATTGCTTGGCCATTTTAAATAATTGTTTATAGTTCTGAAGGTAGTCTAGACAGCATGATTTCATAGTTTTTCTCTAGCTACCTTTAGCTGCTTGGGAGCAGGCACAAGTAAATGTAGAATTGGATTGTGGTTTTACCAAATGAGTTCTACGAGAGGTGGTGGGCCAAGAGAGTTAAATGGAGGGATTAATGGTAGATAGTGGATTGCAGGATGAGTAAGAAGGGAGTGAATACTTGAGGGACCTCATGGATGATTTAAAAAGAATAGGGAAAGCCAGGTGCAATGGTGTGTGCACCTGTAGTCCCAGCTCCACAGGAGGCCGAGGCTGACCAATTGCTTGAGCCCAGGAGTTTGAGGCCAGCCTGGGCAAAATAGCAAGAACCCATCTGGTTTAAAAAAAAAAAAAAAAGAAAGAAAAAAGAATAGGGGGTAATTGGCTTTTTCAAGTACGAGGTCCAGATTCTAAGTTCAAGCCTTTAGCTGCCCAGGTACTAGGAGTCCAGTGTGTATCCCTACTTGTCACTTTACCTCATTTGGTTAAGGTTTTACTTCTCCTAACTCCTCTCTTTTCAGAGGCTCACAGTCAAAACTTTATTTTTTACTTGCTAGAGCAACCTTAAGGATATTTGAAATTTGTTCTTTGAGAAAGGAAAAGAGGGAACAGCTGGGCATTTTGTATAAGAACTTCGAAGAAAAGAATAATGAGTAGGTTTCATAGAGCAAATTGAGGAAAGTACAGGGATCTTTGGGCCTCTTCGTGCCACCAAATTGCCTTCATAAAATATAGGTCTGTAAAGATATACTCCTATTATGTACCCATAATAATTAAAAATAAAAAATTTTTAAAAAATACAGGTCTGCTCATGCCCTTCCTTCTTAAAGAAGTAATCATTGGCTCCATTGTCTACAAGATGCCATGGGTAAACTGGCCATCACCTTTTTTTTTTTTTTTTTAACTTTATGTTCTGTTACTCCACTTTCAGCCAGTCTGATCTGGGAGTACTTGTCTTTTATTGAGCTTCACCTTCCTCTGTTAGTGTGTGTATGTGTGAGAAAGAGAACAAGAGAAGGATTGAATGATGAAGCTGTTTTATAGATACTGGAAAATTAAAAGGGAAACTATAGTGAAGGTATTGTTTATGACCCCAAATGTATGTAGTCTTCTTTCTGTCCATGTAACTTAATTTTCCACCACTTTAAAATACTAGAGGGAATGTTGACAAGGAAGGACTACATTATAATGAAATTTTCGATATACAAGTGCAAACAAATTTTCTTAAATGGAGTCCCAAGATCAAATGCTTTATATATTAGAGTATTATATCTGATGATCACCATAAATAAAAGTCAAAACTTAGTATCAGAAAAGTCTTTAATTCAAATTCATTTTACTTTAGTCATAAACTAATCTGAAAAATATAATACAAAATTTCTACTTTTTTTAATGTTTGTTTAAGAATAAGTTTTGGTTTTCTTAATTTTTTTAAAAAATTATGTAATGCTTTAACAGTTCAGTAACAACAGAGAATGCCTTCAACTCTTGCGTACCTTTTCTCTTCATTCTGTGTTCCCAACTAAATTTGGTGCTGGTTCCTGTCATTTTAACACAGTGTACTTTATAATCCAGTTATATAAAGTTTTCAAATGATCTCTTCCCACTCTCTCAAAAGGTTTTGTTGAATATGTGTGTATTTTGCTTGCTATATTATGTCCTTATGTATACATGTATATTATGTACATATGTGAATGGCATGTATATTTTCATGTGGCATCTGTTACAGTAGAATTTGATGTAGACCATATTTGATTATTTAGCTGAAGAAGCTATTTGAAAGCTATTTCCATCTTTTTAAATCTTTTCCTATTGTCTTTTTTTCCTTCATATTCACCAATATGTTCATTTTTTTTAAACAGGTATCGATTAAGGAACAAAAAGATCAATGCCACTGTAAGAACGTTTCCTCTTCTAAATAAAGTTGGTGTAAACAACACTGTCACAACCACAGCCGGAAATGTCATTTCTGTCATAGGAAGTACTGAAACAACGGGGAAAACTGTTCCAAGTACAAACGGAATTTCAAATGCAGAAAACAGTGTTTCCCAGCTAATCTCACGTAGTACTGACAGTACCTTAAGAGCTCTGGAGACTGTGAAGAAAGTGGGGAAAGTTGGCACTAATGGTCAGAATGCTACCGGACCCTCTGCAGATTCTATAACTGAAAAGTAGGTATTAGGCAAAAATAATTAATATTCTTTATCCTTTTTAGAAATGCCTGAGTATTTTTATTTATCCCAAGGAACAGCAGTTAATCAGAATTTTTATGCAGAATGTTTCACGTAGTAGAAGGAACGCTAAATACCAAAAAATTTTTGTTACAGTCCTGGCTCTGCAACTGAATAGCTTTGTAAAGTTGGAAGGTCATTTCACCTCTGGGTTTTGTTTTGCTCAACTGTACACTGAAGAGGTTGGACCAGAATTGGGTTTTTTGACACCTTACTTCCTTTAACTTTGGTATTGATTCCATAGAGGTGCTAGAAAGAAACTAAGTAGAGACCTGAGCAAGTTAGATGCTCAGCCTCTAGTCCTGTATCAGTCAGAGCACTTCTGCTTTATTTATACTCTGTAATTATGTATAGTAGTTAAAAGAGGAGTCTTGGAGCCAAACTCTTTGGGCTCAAGTTCTGGCTTATTGTTTCCTAGCGGTTTGATCTTAGGCCAGTTGCTTAAGTGTCTCCCTCAATTTACATAACCATAAAATTAGAATTACAATAATATTTCATATGTTGGCTGTGAAGACTAAATGAGTTAACCCTGCAATATGCTTTGAACAATACCTGCCAGATAGTAAGCACTCAATAAATACTTGTTTTATTATTATTGTTATTATTACCACTATTGCTGTTGTGATTGGATGCCAGCATAAGATTTCATTTGGCAAAGGGTTTTGGTGCCTTAAGAAAAAAGTTTTAAAATTTTCAGACAATCTGAAAAGCTGTTTCTGACTCTAAAATCCCACGTTTTGATATTCTTTTATAGGTCAAAATCTGAGTTAAAGCATGTTAAGATTTTGTTGCCCACAAATAGTCTGTCGGTATCTCTTGTATGCCTGCTAGGAAAAAAGCGCTGTGCTAGGCACATAGTACACTGGTAGTGATGTCATATAATAATAATGGGTAGATAAGCAGTAGTATTTGCTCCTTCTGCAGTCAGCATGCAATGGGGGAAATTATTTATTAAGAGAGATTTTAGAAAAGATGTGTCAGAGAACATTATCTAGTGAACACATGTTGTTTATGTACTCATTCTGACCTCTGTGTTTGGCACTGTTGGAAATACATGAGACATACAAGGTATCTCTGCCTGTAAGGAATTTATGATGGCCGGGAGCGGTGGCTCACGCCTCTAATCCTAGCACTCTCGGAGGCCGAGGTGGGCAGATTGTTTGAGCTCAGGAGTTTGAAACCAGCCTGAGCAAGAGCGAGACCCCATCTCTACTAAAAATAGAAAGAAATTAATTGGACAACTAAAAATATATAGAAAAAATTAGCCAGGCATGGTGGCGCATGCCTGTAGTCCCAGCTGCTCGGGAGGCTGAGGCAGGAGGATCGCTTGAGCCCAGGAGTTTGAGGTTGCTGTGAGCTAGGCTGATGCCACGGCACTCTAGCCTGGGCAACACAGTGAGACTCTGTCTCAAAAAAAAAAAAAAGGGAATTTATGATGATATAATTGTGGAGACAGCATTCACACAAATGAAGCAATATTGGAATTGGATTAAAGGACAGGAAAATTTTATATTGCTGGGAAAAATATAGGAGATTTCAGAAAAGGAAACAGTATAACATGATTTAAGTTTGTAGGTAATTATATGGAATATTGAGGAAACCAGCCTTTTAGATTTGAAGCTTTATGTTAGGGACTGGTGTAAATAAGATTAGATAGATAGGTTGGCACCAGATTATGGAGACCTTACGTTATAGATGTTTAGGAAATGAGCTTTTGAAGGGTTTTGGCAAGGCAATGTTATAAAACTATTTTATATCCATACAGTGGAATATTATTCAGCTATAAAGAATGAAGTACTATTATGTGCTACAATATGGATGAATCTTGAAAACATTATGCTAAGCGAAAGAAGGCAGACACAGAAGGCCACATGTTGTATGATTCCATTTATGTAAGATGTTCAGAATAGGCAAATCCATAGAGACAGAAAGTAGATTAATGGTTTCTAGGGGCTTAGGGTGGGAGCAGGAATGGAGAGTGCTGATGGGTACAGGTTTCCCTTGGGAGTGATGAAAATGTTTCAGGATTAAATAGTGGTGATAATTAGACAACTTTATGATTATACCAACAACCACTGATTATATACCTTCAACGGGTGAGTTGTATCTCAGTTTTTTTTAATGGACTAGGGTAACAACTTTAAAAATAATCTACATAAATTATTCTTTCAAATATTTAAAAATAAATCTGCATCCATTATTTATTCATCAGATATTACAGATCATCTCTTATGTGCCAAACACCAGGCCAATTGATGTAGCTAATGAAAATGAGCTAGGGTGGATGTGGTGGCTCATGCCTATAATCCCAGCACTTTGGGAGCATGAGGCAGGAAGATTGCTTGAGGCCAGGAGTTCGAGACCAGCCCAGGCAACATAGTGAGACCCCATCTCTAGAAAAAAAAAAAAAAGCTGGATGAGGTGGCATGCACCTATAGTCTTAGTTACTCAGGAGGCTCAGGTGCGAGGATCTCTTGAGCCCAGGAGTTTGAGGTTGCAGTGAGCTATGATGATGCCACTACACTCCAGCCAGGTGACAGAGCAAGACTGTCTCAACAACAACAACAAAAGCATGGATAAAAGGGTCGTATTAATGCCCAATTGTTCATTCCCTGTTGCCCCCACCAGTATGTGAGATCTGTTACCCTGATCATTTTCTATTAGTAATTTCATTATATAATTTTATGAAAAATTCCTTTTGAGGAAGACATTTGGTTATCCTTTATTCTTTGTTAAACTCTTTCTCCAGTAAAATTGGTTCTCCACCCAAGACTCCTGTAAGTAATGTAGTGGCTACCTCAGCTGGACCCTCTAATGCTGGAACAGAGCTGAATTCTGTGCCTCAAAAATCCAGCCCATTTCTAACTAGAGTACCAGTATATCCTCAGCATTCTGAAAACATTCAATATTTTCAAGATCCAAGGACTCAGATACCCTTTGAAGTCCCACAGTATCCACAGACAGGTAAGTAATTTTATGTAATTTTATAGAATTCTAAGAAAAAAGAAACTGTAATCTGACATGTGTTTCCCTTAGATAAATGAGAGAATCATTTATATCTGTGTACAATGTCTACATTAAAAAATTAATCCTTTGGAGTATGTGACCCATATGTTTTCTCCTGCTCTAAGAATCTGTGGTTCTAGATACTAATAAGATTGTCATTCCTATGAATCAAATATAAGGTTCATGAATGAGCTTCGGGGAGTACTGCAAATCCCCTGAAATAGCATATAAAATGTTTTGTTTGTGTATGCTTATATACAATTTTGGAACGACAGTGAACAACTTACATAGATTTTGAAAGAGGTCTTTAACCTCTGCTCCCAAAAAGGATAATAAGAATCAATGATGGAATCATTTAATCCAAAACCTATGGCAATAGATGCTCTAGAAGGAAATTTACCAGCCATCTATTAATAGCTTTGTCATGTGTTTTTAAAAAACAGTTTAACAAAGTGTTGAATGTTAATGATTTTCATATAGTAATATCTTGAAAATACATAGCTGCTTTGTAAAGCAGAGTAACTAAGGTAAAATTCAAAGCTTATATTTTCCCACATTAAAGGCTGCCTTAGACTTTAACCATTATAATATGTTGAATTTTACTAAGATTACATTAAATATTCCTTTTTCCAATTTTCAAGGATACTACCCACCACCTCCAACGGTACCAGCTGGTGTGGCTCCCTGTGTTCCTCGCTTTGTGAGGTCCAATAATGTTCCAGAGTCCTCCCTCCCACCTGCTTCCATGCCATATGCCGATCATTACAGTACATTTTCCCCTCGAGATCGAATGAATTCTTCTCCTTACCAGCCTCCTCCTCCGCAGCCGTATGGACCAGTTCCTCCAGTACCTTCTGGGATGTATGCTCCTGTGTATGACAGTAGGCGCATCTGGCGCCCACCTATGTACCAACGAGATGACATTATTAGAAGCAATTCTTTACCTCCAATGGATGTGATGCACTCGTCTGTCTATCAGACATCTTTGCGGGAAAGATATAACTCATTAGATGGATATTATTCAGTGGCTTGTCAGCCACCAAGTGAGCCAAGGACAACTGTGCCTTTACCAAGGGTAAGTGATGATGGAAATAGGAATGCTGCTATAGTGTAGTAGTTAGTGTAGTAGTTAAGAATCCAGTATGTGGTGTTAAAATACCCAAGTATACATTCTGGCTCCTCCACTTGCAGTTGTGTGACCCACAGAAGTTACTCCTGTGCCTCAGTTTTTTCATCTGTTTGGTGGCAATAACAGAAGTACCTACCTCAAGGCTATTGTGAGAATTAAATCAGAAAAACAAAACTTTTAGAACTAGGCCTGATACGTATGAATGCTCAATAAATGTCATTTGGATAGAAAACTGTTGGGAAGGTAAAAATAAATCTCAGAATTACAAGGACAGTGCCTCTTCAGTATCTCTACATATATACAAATGACTTTTCTAAACCAGAAAAGTGAGTGCTCAGATTTTACTTTTAATATCAGTTGAATCAATATTAACCTTTTTGTTTAAGTGTGTGGAGAATAGACTAGGGTGACTTTCCCTCCTGTGTTTTTTTATCCCCAAAATATCATAAACTGTTTACATTATTTTCACAGAGCATAGTTAAATTTATTCACCACTCCCTAGATAATTAAGATTGTTTCTTTTATCCTCCATTAGGAACCTTGTGGTCATTTGAAGACCAGTTGCGAGGAGCAGATAAGAAGAAAGCCAGATCAGTGGGCACAGTACCACACTCAGAAAGCACCTCTTGTCTCTTCAACTCTTCCTATGGCAACACAGTCACCAACACCACCTTCTCCTCTATTCAGTGTAGACTTTCGCACGGATGTAAGAAAGGTTTTAATCACTTGATGTTGCAGAGATAGTTTAAACAGTTGACTTCAAATTTCTCATTCAAACCATGGTTAGCTATTTTGGATATTTTGCAGTGGTTTCATGTGCATTTGAGGTTAGTTCAATAAACATTAACTGTATACTCACTAGGTGTTGTGAGACTCCTGAAGACCATCATATGTCTCTCAGTCCTTTATCAACCAAGAATTAAAAATCTTTCCAGCAGTACAGTTATTTTTATAGTCTTTATTGATAATAAGCTTTATATCTACCATTTATTGAGCACCTACTCATGGCAGGCACTGTAACAAGCATTTACATAAAGCTGTTTTATTTAATTCTCACAAAAACCTTAGGGCACAGGTGATATCCATACTTTACAGGTTAGGAATCCAACTCAGAGAAGTTATATAATTAGCCCAAGATCATTCAGCCTTACAGCAGCTGGGATTTGAATCCTGGGCTGAGGCATTTCTTCCCTACTTCACAAGAGGTGCAGAAATGCCTACTGAATTATTCATGCTGTTTACATCACTGCTAATTATTGTTCTTGGCATTACAAAACAAGTTTTTGTACAAGGATGATCTTAATTTAACCTGGTGTTTTTAGTACTGTTATATTTAGAGAAAACCATTAATTTCTTTTTAAAGTTTCTTCTAATTTATTCCCCACCCCCAGAGGATCTGATATAAAAAATTTTTTAATCTTTTTTATTATAAACAATTTCAAACATATGCCAGGCACAGTGGCTCATGCCTATAATCCCAACAACTCGGGAGGCTGAGTCAGGAGGATTGCTTGAGGCCAAGAGTTCCAGACCAGCCTGAGCAACACAGTGAGACCCTGTCTCTAAAAAAAAAAATTTCAAACATATACAAATGTGGAGAGAATAGTATAATACACTCTACCTATTGCCCAGCTTTCACAGTTATCAGCTCAGCCAAATCTTATTTTATTTGTACCCCCTTTTCCTGCTGGTTTATTTTGAAATAATCCTAGGCATTATATTTTTTTATCCATAAATCTTTTAATAAAGCATTGAATTTTTAAACTAGATCCAAATTTGTCTTATCAAATTTAGACTTCTTCAAAGCAGGTAAACATCTTGACAACAGTGACAGAGCCGCCACTTGCTTGATAGAAAAGTGTATTTTCAATTTTTATATTATATGTTTTAGGAAATGAGTATTTTCCTGAGATTAAGATCTGCTGTCAGCTTGCAGTTTGTCTTGGGGCAAGTTATTTAACCTTTTTGTCCTTAAGTTTTCTTATCTGAATAATTAATAAACTAGATTTAATGATTATTGCAACCGTAGTATTCTGGTCCTATAGTATTCCTTATAGTTCCTTTAAAATGTATTCACTTCCCCTTCTAGCTCCAGACCCTTCTTTGAATTCTTTGGCTCTTTATTTAATACTACATGGTTTGTCAGTCATGTTCCCTTATTTGCACATGTTATTCTTTTGTCAAGGAAATTATAAACTCCTTTAGGACATGGACTGTGATCTCTGTGTCTGTGTGCATATCTGTGTATTTTCTTTTGCTTTTTTTTTCTTCATTTTTTTTTAGAGCACCCCATACTATGTTAGTGACATGCTACAAATATTTGTTGATTGCTTTTGATAGTATCAGTCAAGTGTTCTTTATGAGCACTTAAAGGAAAAAGGGAAAAGAGAAGGCATGCCATTTTCTAATGTAAAAATACTATTTGTTGCTTATAACAGTTTTTATATTATTAAGAGTATAATTGTTCACTATGAAGTTCTCTGAATTCTATAATAGTCACTTTATATTAGTTACAAGCTTGTAAATTTAAGTTTCTTACTAATTGGCTTATTTTTTTTAAAAAAACAGTTCTCTGAGAGTGTGAGTGGTACAAAATTTGAAGAAGATCATCTTTCCCATTATTCTCCCTGGTCCTGTGGCACCATAGGCTCCTGTATAAATGCCATCGATTCAGAGCCCAAAGATGTAATTGCTAATTCAAATGCTGTGTTAATGGTATGATTTTGCTGGGGTTTGGGGGTGGTGGGGAGAGATAGTGCATGTTGACTCAAGTTTTAGAATGAATGCTTTCATCTTTTTACTCTTGCTATATAACTCATCTGTAAGCAGCTGCATTATATTTAGATAAGTCTGAAATAAATTGCATTTAATGTTTAAATTATTTGAACATAGTTTAGTGGTTTAATAATAGTGTTGGATTATCATTGACATGTAGAGCTAGTGTTAAATTTACCAGAAAACCTAATAACATGTCTCTTGATAGCATGTACTTACTAGCTGAAGTAATAGCCAACAGTCCTTTTATTGATTTTCTTTGGTTTATGCAGGACCTGGACAGTGGAGATGTTAAGAGAAGAGTACATTTATTTGAAAGTCAGAGAAGGACAAAAGAAGAAGACCCAATAATTCCCTTTAGTGATGGACCCATCATCTCAAAGTGGGGTGCAATTTCCAGATCTTCCCGCACAGGTTACCATACTACGGATCCTGTCCAGGCCACTGCTTCCCAAGGAAGTGCAACTAAGCCCATCAGCGTATCAGGTAATCCATTTAACTAATCCCTAGTCTGATATGTTTTAGACACTGCTTTTTAATCCCCAATCTGTATAATAGAGTACATTTCCCTCCATTTAACAACTCTGGTACACTCAGAATTAAATGGTTTAACCAGCATCGTGTGGCTAGTGGGATAAAATGCAGGTCTTTTTTTGAAAAGTATACATGCATATCTATCTACTAGTTTTTAACTTTTGCAAACGTGTTTCTTCCTACATTTCTCTAGATTACGTCCCTTACGTCAATGCTGTTGATTCAAGATGGAGTTCATATGGCAGTGAGGCCACATCATCAGCACACTATATTGAGCGGTAATGTTTCTCTTAATTCTGTAGGATTCTCCATTCTCAGACTTGTATGTATCCTCAGAGACCAAATCCCACCCACATTTGTTCATGAAATGTGCTTTGCTAGTCTGAGCTGTATAACAAATTTCTGAAAAAAATGTTTACTTTTACATTTGGAATGATGACTGAAGCTTTCAGGGTTGATCTGTTACATAAAACATATAGTCATTACTGCTTTAGTTGCTTTATTTATTTTACTTTTATTATAATAAACGTATTTCTCTTTAAAGGGACAGATTCATTGTTACTGATTTATCTGGTCATAGAAAGCATTCCAGTACTGGAGATCTTTTAAGCATTGAACTTCAGCAGGTAGGTTCTAGGTAACTTACCTTTGAATTTTTAAAAAAATAGAATGACATTTGAAAACTATGGTTGGAAGCTAACTTTACTTTTTTTCCCACTTTCTCCTTATATAGGCCAAGAGTAACTCGTTACTTCTTCAGAGAGAGGCCAATGCTCTGGCCATGCAACAGAAGTGGAATTCCCTGGATGAAGGCCGTCACCTTACCTTAAATCTTCTAAGCAAGGAAATTGAACTGAGAAATGGAGAGGTAAAAAAACTGAACCTCTCAGCTTCATGCATAATGTATTTGTTTTCTGCAAACTGCACCTTGGTTTATACCCGTCTTTGTGCATTTTAGTGTGCCTTTTTCTGATGGATGATTGATGACTGTTAAAACTTACAGTAGAAATAAAATTACAGTCTGAGATTTCCTAAATAATTCTTTAATTAAACCATTGAGGTTCCCATTTTAATTTAAAAGGGAAGCCCCAGGCTCCACGGGTATAAGATCAGTATTTTTGTTGTTTACAGAGTGATTATACAGAAGATTCAACAGATACTAAGCCTGATAGGGATATTGAATTAGAGCTTTCAGCACTTGATACTGATGAACCTGATGGACAAAGCGAACAAATCGAAGTAAGTGCCACAATTAGATAATTAGGAAGCTTTGTTCCTTTGAAAATTAAAAAGTATAAAATACTTTCATACTGAAGAATTAAAATTTTACTTTCCTAGGAGATCCTGGACATACAACTTGGAATCAGTTCTCAAAATGATCAGTTGCTGAATGGAACAGCAGTGGAAAATGGGCATCCGGTCCAACAGCACCAAAAGGAGCCACTAAAGCAGAAAAAACAGAGTTTAGGTGAAGACCATGTGATTCTGTGAGTGTTAGACAGAAAATTCATAACGAGTAGACTTAGGGCATGAATACTTAAAGAGAAATAGATGCTGTGTTAAATTCATTTTTGGCTTTGTGCTGTGAGGAAGACCTTAGATAATAGGGTAATGATTTGGTCAGTCCAGATTTTTAGGGGAGAAGAGATAAAATTGAACTAACAAAGTAGTCCATTTTAGTAGCCTGAAACTTGCTTTTTGTTGGGATAAAAGTCTGTGCTCCAGTATCAGGTTATACTTTTTCAATCTGATAGCCAAACTTAAAGAATTAAGACCTAGATTAAGGGTTTCTTTTTTTAAAAAATCATGTTAAGGCTGGGCTTAGTGGCTCATGCCTGTAATCCTAGCACTTTGGGAGGCTGAGGCAGGAGGATCACTTGAGGCCAGAAGTTCAAGACCAACCTGGGCAAC